TAGATAGATAGATAGATAGATAGATAGATAGATAGATAGATAGATAGATAGATAGATAGATAGATAGCGCAAACCTGCGAGCCTCCGATGTGTTGGCGACGACGCGCTGTTTGCGACATGATGCTAGGGTTGTGTGTCATGACGTGGCACCGCGTCATAGTCGCATGTCAGGCGCAGTTTAACCTCGTCGTTGCGTTAAACCGCACAAAAGACGCGTGTTGAATCGCGTCAAACGCAGGCAACCGACGACGCCGATCATGCTCTGTCGTCTTCGGTTCCGGTTTGCGCCGCCGGTCGCCGTGGCAAGAGGCGATGCGTCCATGCCGATCCACGTCGAAGTCGTCGACGAGCATGGCCAAGGTGTCTCGCTGGCGGCGGCCACGCAGGCAGCGGGCACCGCCGGGTGGTCGATTGTCGTCGCGGCTGGCGACGCGCCGCCCGTGCGCCTGAACATGGCTGCGACGCAAAGCCACGGCGTGGTGCGCCTGCCACTGCCGTCGCTCGACGCTGCGTTTCGCATTCATGCACATGCCGTCTCGTCCGTCGATGCGTGTGCGCCCATGTACACTGGTCTGCAGGCTTTGACGAGCGCGAGCGCCGTCTCGCCGACGATCCTCGTGCTGCCGCTGAGCTCCAAGCACATCTGCATCAGCGACACGTTCCGTCCCGGGACCATTCCGGTAGCGCGGCGCGTCTACGATGCGAATCTTGTGTTGCACGAGACGTACGGCGACGCGATGGCCGCGCAGCAGTGGGACGCGGGTCTTTGCCTCGCGTCCTATCTGCAGGCGTGGCTCTCGTATACGTCGCCGCCGACGACAGTGCTTGAACTCGGCGCTGGCACCGGGCTCCTTGGCCTCGCGCTCGCCAAGTGGCTGCCGGCAACGTCGACGGTCGTCCTCACCGAGCGCACGTCGGCGCTCCGCCATCTCGAGGAGACCCTATCTCGCAATGCAGTGGTCGTCTCGGCGCAGGTGCACGCCGTGGCGCTTGACTGGGGCGACAACGAACAACTGCTTGCGCTCCGCGCATCGCTCCCAAGTTGTGATCTCGTCGTACTCGCCGACGTTCTCTACTGCTGGGCGGCCCACCCGCGCCTGCTCGACTCGCTACGCGGGCTTGTGCAGCTCGGTCACACGTCCATCTTCGTCGCCCACACGCACCGGAGTGCGCACATTTCGGCGCACCTCGCAGCCCTCGAGAGAGGAACCGCTGCCGTCGCATGCGGCCACTGCGACGGCGTGTGCGGCTGGACCGCGTGGCGCTGGCAATCGCTTGCGACGGTGGGGGCGACACAGATATTTGCGTTAACATGGAAAGCTGCCACGTAGGCGACTCTACTCAATGTGGCACCGCTGCTTGATCTCGGTGACTGTCGTCTCGGCTTTGAGCGACATGGGCTTGAGGATCTTGTTGGCCTCGAGCGCCGAGATCGGGTTGGCGTACACGTCCATCTTGTAGCGCGCGAGGGGCGGGAGCTTGCTCGTGCCGTGCAGCGCGACAAAGAAGCACCAAACAAGCGGCGTCACGCAGCGGTAGTCGACGCCGACCTTGAGATTCGCACGCGGGCGATCCGGGTCGCCGGCCACCGCGCCGCTGAGACGCTCCTGCCACCCGTCCATGACCAGAGTCTCGTTCGTGATCGGGCCGGGCGGCGGCCCGTTCATGGCCGCGTACAGCACCCAACGCTCGATCCACTTGGCGTCGATCACGAGCCAGCACTCGCCGCGCGCAATCTTGGTCTTGTCGTGCTTCTTGAGGAACGTAAACTCTTCCTTGCGGCGCAGATCAAAGTCCTGCGAGTTGGCGCGGCGACGCGGCAGCGCAAACTCGAGAATGCGCTCGGTCGACGCGAGCTCGCCGAGGCGCCGCGTGACGGCATCGAGCGGCCACGCGCTCACGTCTTCGCCGTTGATCGCGACGAGGCTTGCGCCAGGATGAATGTTGTCGTGGAGCTCGAGCACGCCGGGCGACCCGTCCGGTAGCTTTTGGAAACCTTGCACGACCGCGCGGTGCTTGAGTTGGCCGTCGAGGAGGAGGCCGAGCGGGCCCGACGGGACGAGCACGACAATGTTCTCCGTGACAAACTCGGTACCGTTCGAGGCGCGCCGGTCCGCCACCGGCGGCGTCGCCACCGAGACGGGCGTCGGCGGGGCAGCGACCGGCTTGCGTGGCGAGAGCGGTTTGATGGGCGAAAGCGGCTAGAAGACGTGGTGAGATAAGCTATGGACTGCACCATGCGCACCTTGTTGACGCGCCAGCCGAGGACCTTGGACTTGTCCTTCTGCTCGCGCAAGATGTCGCTGACTTGCTTTGTGTTGAGGCCCGAGACATCCTTCTGGTTGATCGCGACGAGGACCGACCCGGGTGGAATGCCGCCGTGCATTTCGATGGCGCCGGCGAGGCCCGACGGCAGCTTGGCAAACGACTCGATCACAGCGTTCTGGTCGTTGGTACGGTCCATGACGATGGCCAGCGGGCCCGCGGGCACGTGCACCTCGACAACGTCGTCGGCGGACGCGGCGAACGGGCGGAGGAGTGCCAACGTGTCGTGCTCGGTGGGGTCCATTAACTCTAAGTGACGCAAAACGGTTGGCCTTTCTCGAACAAGAGAAGCTTCAGCGAGACAGAGCAGAAGAAGACTGCGTGCCCGCGCATACCTGCGCAACTAGTTCGGCTCTGCGGGCGACGGCGACGACGACGGCCGGCCGAGGGATGGCAAGGGAAAGTGTACGTGCTACAACCCACGACACAACATCAAGTCTGGGAGGTTCCGAGATTGCCCTTTGACGCGATCTTGAACAGGCGTGGCATCGTCTCGACAAGCGCATCGATGCCATCGAGCATGCGTTCGAGAAGCTCTCCGAGGTCGTGCTCTTGGAGCTTGGTGCGAGCGTTTGGCCTCCTATTGCGACTGCATCCGACTGTCGTAGATGAAGTCAAGGCGGCAGCAGCCCACGACCAGGACAAGATTGCGGCCCGGTTCCGCGCCCATGACCGGCTCTTGGCCGTGCTCGAGAAGCAGTGCAACCGCGTCGAGTCCAAGAGCCTCCAGCTTGAGCTCGTATTAGAAAAGAAGGTCGAGGGCATCCAAGCCCAATTGACGCGGGTCTCGGTGGCCGTCATCGGTAATGCATTGCTGTGCTTCTTGAAGGGGCACGGCAGCGGGGCGTAGAGAACGAAGCCGAGCGACAGCGCCTGAGTGCGCATGTCGATGGGCTCATGGTCCGCGAAGGCGACGGTATCCGCAAGCTCCATGCGCTCCAAGCCAACTTGGATCAAATGGGCGAGTGGCTCCAGCGACTCAAGGAGGACTCGACCGTCGTCCACGCCGCTGTCCACTCCATGTGCGTCAGCTTTCGCAGCACCATCAGGATGCAACGAGCGCAATGTTGTAGGAATGCAGACCACTCGGCGGCCATCCAGTCGCTGACTGCCGACACAACCAATCTCGCCAAAGAGCTCGGCACGCTCCGGGCGCAGAGCAAGGCCCAGTCCGCCGACTGCTTGGCCAAGCTCAACGCGTTCTCTGGCTCGCTCGAGCGGCAGCGCGAACTCGACCGATCGCATTGCGAGCACGAAATCGCCGTCTTGCGGGAGGCGCTGCAGACGACGGACGCCACGTGCCGCACGGCTGTCGATGGTTTGCTCAAGAATGCGTCCCGCGTACGGCGTCACGCACCTTTTGCTCGAAGCTAACGCTGGCTCTAGGTGCGCAATGCTTTGGACGAAGGCATGTCCGTGTGCTCGACCGACGTGCGCCTCTTGCGCGAGGAAGTCCGCACCACGAGCACCGACGTCCGAGGCTCCGTGACCACCTTTGGCCGCCAGCTGCATGAAATGCAAGACAAGGTCAGCCATCTTCTACATGCAGTGCAGTCGCTCGCGGGTATTCTGCACCTCACGACGCCACTATGACCTTGCGCCTGCCTGCCCTTTCTGGGTTGCTGCAGATATTGTATCAAATGCTAGAGGTTCCCGCCGTGGACATTTTTAAAATGCGGATGTTTTATAGGACGTTAATTTCATTTTTACCTCTGATTTGTATGTCATCTTGGTCTGAAGGGCATTAAAATCAGTTGCATTTTAAGCGACGGTCGCCAGGTATGGAGTCTGACAGGTCAACAATTCCGACAATTACCACCAATCACAGCCGTGGATTCTCAAATTTCCATGGCAACCCAACAGGCAGCCGAAGATCCCATGGAAGCGGCGGACGTGGCCGTCGCCGCTGCCGACGTCGTCGAGGTCTCGGACTCGGAGCCGCCGGCAACGGAGGCGTCGCCCAAGAAGCAGGTGACGCCGGCAAAGAAGAAGGCAGCCCGCGGCCGAGGCCGCCCGCGCAAGAACCCCGAGCCCGAGTCCTCGACCGACGACGACGAAGAGGACGTGTTTGCACTCTTTGCCGAGAAGAGCAAGCTGCTCAGCGACGATATCACAAAACGGTACGGCGAAGTCGTCTGGGCGCGCATGCGGGGCTTCCCGTACTGGCCGGGCCATATTTGCGACCCGGCGATTCTGGACGCCGACTCGATGAAGCGGTTCCTGCCCCGCATCGAGACGAGCTACTGGGTCTACTTTTACGAGGCCCACAACAGGTACGAGCGGCTACCATTATCATATCGATGCCTCATGCCATGTAGCACGGCCATTTCATACGCAGACATTGTGCCCTGGGACGACACGACCAACGACTACCGCGATCCGCGCGGGTACCCGCCCAAGAAGACCGTCAAGCGCGTCAAAAACCTCGTCGAAGCCGTGACACTGGGCGACGTACGCGGCTGCCCTTGTGGCGAACGCCTCATGACAAGCGTGTAGGCCGAGGTCATCTTGCCGGTTGAAGGTCGCATCCAGTGGATCAAGGAAAACCTGGTACCATCGTCGCACGCAGCATCGTCTTCTTATCGTATCGTGTGCTAGAACAAGCCGACGGCAAAGGCGTCCAAGGCCAAACGACCCCGGACGACGACGGACCCGGACGTCAGCCCGAAGACGCCTGCCAACAAAAAAGCGAAAACGACCAGCGCGAAAGAAGAGACACCGGCGCCGTCGGTGGACATGTCCGAGTCCGACGCACCCAAGATCAAGCGGGCGAGGGCGACCAAAGACGCTATTGCTGCCGTCGAGCTGCCCCTCATGCGCAAGGAGGACAAGCTGAGCAAGGATGTCGAGCGAATGATGAAGAAGGCAGATAAGGCGGTGGTCGCCGCCGAAAAGAAGAGGTCCAAAGCTACCGAGCCAGCCAAGGACAAACCGGCAGCCAAGGACAAGCCAGCAGCCAAGGACAAGCCAGCGGCCAAGAAGGCTGTAGCCAAGGACAAGGCCAAAGCTGGCGACGACAAACCGATCGACGACGAGTTGGAAGAAGCAAAACGATGCGCAAAGAAGCTCCAGCGCTGCGCGCGCGAAGACTCTGCGGACGCCAACGAAAAAGCGATTGCGATCATGAGCACGCTCATCGCGTCCGAGAAGCCCATGACGCTGGACGTGCTACGTGACTCCAATCTTCCCGCAGCCGTCAACGCGCTCCGAGCCAGCGTCAACCCCAACGTGGCCAAGACCGCCAGCGCCCTTCGCAAGCACATGATGCAGCGCGTACGCTCGCTTCTACCTCGCGCATCGCTCATTTCTTATATCTTTTGCAAAGGCCGGTGTCCAGACGAAGGAAAAGCCCAAGTCGTCGTCGCCCGAGGCTGAACCGGCAGTCGAGCCGCCTGCCGCGGGCAACTCACCCGCCGACGGCACGGTCGACGCCACGCCGCCACCAACAGAGGTGGTCGTCGACGCAGTGCCTGTCGAGCCGACGCCTGTAGACGCCGACGCGTCACCAGCAACAGTCGAGCTTGCCGAGACGCCGGCCGAGACGACGCCACCGACGCCTGCCAAACCCGAGTGCCCACACCGCAGTGTTGTGCGCCAGCTCCTGCAGCGCGTGCTGCCAAAGCCCTCGCTGTGTACAGAGATCGAGGTATCGACTTTGGTGATCGTATCTCCTCAAACCATGGCGCTAGCTCGCGCTCTACGATCGGTTCAGCGATACGACCGAGGAGTACAAGTCGCAAGCGCGCACCGTTGTGTTTGGTCTCGAGGCGCACAAGGTATGCCGCCAAAAGGTGCTGTCGGGGTCCCTCCCCGTGCTCGAGCTGGCGTTTGCCACCGACGAGGTACCGTCTTGCATCGATTGGACCTAATTGACCAACGCCGTATAGATGTTTGCGCAGCTGGACAAGTCGGCGTTCCTGCACAAGTAAACAACTGTGCTTGTTGTGCTTCCACTTTGGATTTTGTTATGACGTTACGACGTCGACGGCTCGGTGGTGGTCGAGCTTGGTTCGGGATGGTACGGTCCCAAGAACATTCTCCTACGGGCGTCGTCCAGAGCTTGCTTGTCGTGCTTCTTGGTGCGCGCAAACAGCTTCTTCTTGACGTGGTGGAGACCCGACGACGCGCTCTCTTTCGAGACACACCACGCCAAGTGCACTTCAAACTTGCGCAATAAGCGCTTCCACGTACAGAGCTTGGACCGGCATACGAACGGGGGGAGGTCCAACCCTAACCCCGAGAGGTTGACCACAAAGCCCGAGCACGCAACGTGCAGGCAAATGTTGCCGACGCGCACATAGTTGAAGAAGACAACGTCTTCGTTCTCGACGTCGAGATCGTCGCCATCGCCGTCGTCGTCGATCTCGGGCTGATGCAGCGATGACGCGGTCGTCGTCACCGGGGGGCGAAGACCACTACTCTTCTTTCCAAACGACTCGGTGCGGTTCGCGCCAAAGAAGAAGGTGAACATGAGCTCGTAAAAGTCGACTGCGAGTTGAATCGCAAAGTCGTAGTCGACACCGGGAAAGAAGCTCACTTCGAGCACCTCAAAGACGCGGAGCGGGGGTAGCTCGTTGGCGACGAGCGGGAAACTCTCGGCCCGCAGCGACAAGAGCGGCTGTCCGTCTACGGAAAAGATATACGATGAAGATACGACCGGCGAGGCTGACCTTGGGCTGTCGCGAGGCGCGGTGTGAGGACGGCCATCGGGTCGTCAAAGGCCATGGACGACGCGCCGGGCCGGAGGTTTTGGATCTCGAGCCATTGAAGACTCAGGTTGAACTTTGTCGAGAGCGAGTCGTGAAACACGTGGCTGCCGCGCGCTTGGCGGAGCTCGAGCCCGACAAACTCAATGTTGCCGTTCTCCGGGCTCGTCCGAAGCCGGCACTGCGCAAGCCCAATCTCAAACGTGACGCTTTTGAGCGCCGTGCTCGGACCTAGTGCCAATTGAGTTTTTAGCTACAAATTGGTGGATACTGTACTGGGCGAGCGGAGGTCCCGACGTCGGAGCTCGTCGGCGATCGCTTGCTGGAGGCGCTTGCCGCCTTTGTGCGCGGGTCGCGGTGACGCGTCGGCCGCGGTCTTGTTGGTCAGCGGCGGCGCCAAGAGCACGTGCTTGACGACGCTAAAGCACTGGAAAAACTGATGCGAGTCGACCGTGAGCTCGATCGACGGCAAGTGCACGCGAATGCGCGTCGCTTGGTTGTGCAGCGTCATCGCGTACTGCACATGGAGGCAGCACTCGGTCAAGATCGGCCGCAGCAAGGACGACGCGGCCTCCTTGTACCAGAGAATGCCGGCGCCAATGTCCACGTCCAACGGTGCGACGAGGCACCGCATGTCCTTGAGCTGGACATCGGCCATTGAGCGGACGCCCGCCGCGTCGTACCCCCACTCGAGGTGGATGAGCCGGGACGCGAGCACGAGGCTGCTCTTCGTGTCTGGCTCGAGCAAGTTGATTTGCACGCGCTCAATATCAAGTTGATACAATTTGACCAGGTCGCGCGTCTCGTGGGCATTGGTCGCGGCCGGCGCAGCATCCGAGACACGCGATCCGAGCTTGCCTTGCTCGAGGAGCTCCAACAACGAGAGCGGCGTCACGGGCTCAGGCAGTACGACAGCAGGTGTCATCGGGGCTGACGGGCTTTTCTCAGTCTCAAGCCCGAGCATGTCGCTGTGAACGAGGTCGATGACGCGGCAGACATGGTCGCGCAGCGCGACGGTCCAGAGAAGCTTGCACTCGTCGAGGTGGATCGGAATGTACGGCAGCGCGCTCTTGGCGTACTCGAGCACAGTGGCTTCAAGAAAAAACGACGTCGTTGGTCCCCGAAGAAACGGAATCGGCCCAGCATTCGCATCCCGCGTCACGAGCGCATAGGCGCGCGTACTAGAGGCGGCGACCCGACACGTCGGCAGCGTCCAGATGCCATTTGCGGCTTGGACAAGGCCGAGCGTCACGTCGAGCGTCTCGGCTTGGCTGAAAAACGCGTCATTCGCGACGGCGTCTTCCCACCACGCGATCTGCAGCGGGGCTATCGTGACCTGAAGAGCCAGACTAGCGACGCGATGGAAACGCGGCGCCGCTGGCGGGGGAGCGAGAGGCGTGGACTCGCGATTCGCTGCAAGCGTGCGCAGCGCGGCAAGCACCGAAGACCACTCGAGCAAGAGGCCATTGCAGTCGGTATCGTGCAGCGCGCGCATACTCGCCGCCACCGAGATGGCCCAGATATCGCAGAGCGGATCGTGGTCGTTGAGGACGCAGTGCGCGACGACGCTAACGCGCGCCAGTAGCAAGACATCGGTCACGAGACCGATACTCAGCTGCGTGAGGTGCCCGTCAAGTCGGTACGTCTTGTCGCAGACTGCTTGGAGCTGCGCCACGCGGAGCGCCAAAGTGATGTCGTCGCGTAGCGTGTAGTGCAGCGCGACGTCGGTGGCCGACACGTCAACTTCGCCGAAATACTTGAGCCGCGGGTTGCCACGATGGACGTCTTTCGCTTCCAAGACGGCCGAGTCCAACGCGTATGCCAGTGTATTGCTGACGTACGAGGCGACGATGGCAGCCGCTGCCGGGCGGTTTGCATGGAGCGCAATCCCGTGCCCCGCAATGTGCAACGACACCCCGAGGCGCTTACCGGGAGCGCGCGCGTCGACACTGGCAAAGGCACCTGCCATGTCCAGGAGCCGCCCGCCGAGCGTCAGCGACCGCAGCTGGAGGTGTGCGACGCAGTTGTTGTCGCTAGTGTTCAACGCAACGTCGATGCTGCCGGTGTCCATCTCGAGGTCGATCAGAACAAGGCGCGTGAGGAGCGGCCGGTAGAGGTCAAATGAAAGCACAGTGTCGAGGTCGCGGACCAGCGCTGCATGGTTGTCCGAGACACTGGTGCTGGACGACGGTGTCAACATGGCTTTGACGTGGCATTGACTGGCCTCGAGTCGGCACACAGGCGTCTCATGCGCATCAACAATTGTGGCGAGGGCGGTGCGGACGTTGACGTTGAGCTGGAGCGGCGGGGGCAGGCCTACGCACCGACGTCAGAAGACAAGGTTTGTGCCCAAATGCGCACCTGTATCGCGCCGCGGTGGTGCCATGAGTTCTTGGAGTTGAAGAAGAAGTGCCAGGAGGCGACATTCGCCACCAAGGACCACGGACGCGGACGTGAGGTCCACTTGGAGGTGGCTCGCAGCGCTGGCTGCCGTCGGCTTGGTGTCGACAAGCTGAAGGTCGACGCACTCGATCAGACAGGTCGTGTCGTGGCGCAGCACAACTTGCTGCACTTGCACTCGCGTGCTACTGCCGCCCATCACGTGGACGTGGAGCTCGGTGCTTTGGATCGCGCACGCCCCAATATGCGGCACCTCGGTCATGTGCACGCCCACCTCGTGGCTTTCAAGAACGAGGTCCACCGGCTTCTTCGGCGGCGCGTGTGATGTGGGGGATTTGGGTGGCGTCACAATGGTCTGGACCCAGAGCAGAAGCGAGACCGCGTCGGTGGCCGCCACCAAGCGCGCTGCATGCAGTGGATAGACCCAGTGCACAGCCGTCGACTCGAGACCAACTTGGATCTGCAGAACATCGTCGCCAGTTTCGGTGGACGCCACGCGCAACCGCGTGAGCTGAAATACAGGTCGTCCCAGCAGCGTTGCCTCGAGCGCCGCCAGCGTCAAGGCCACGACGACGCTCTTCTTGGGTGCGACCACGTCCGTGATCACCGCATGGAGCGCCGTGGTCGCAAGGTGCACAAGCTCGTTTTGAGCTACCAGTTGCCACGCTCCGTTGTCGACGTCAAGCTGCACGCGCGACTGGTCGTCGGTTTTCGCAACAGTCGCGTGCACTGTCGTGAGCTGCACCTTGAGCGCTTTGTCCGCATCGACGGCCTCGAAGGTCGAGTGCCCGCAGCGCAGCGTGAAGACAAGGACAAGGGGGATCTTGGGACGAGGCGAGGACGACGACTTGGTCTGGCAACAGGCCTTCTCGGTCGCGTCAGCGAGCATCCGCAGACGCGTCGACCACTGCAACGACAGCTCGCCCACGTCACTTGTCATCTCGATGGTTTCCTTCTCGTCAGTCAACCGGTGCAGCACTCGGGCCTAACAAAGAGCATTCCGATCGATATGACAAGCAAACAGCAAGGTCATACCGTCATGACCGTCCAGTGCAGACAGGTGACGTCGCCAAGGCGTACAGAGCCACTGCGAACCGTCGCTTCCAGTGACAGCTCGGCGCCGGACGGCTCGATCTGCTTGGTGACGCGAAGGGCGTCGACGTGCGTGCGCACGCTGAGCTCGGTGGGGGCGTCGTCGGGGCCGTGCACGAACGACATCTGCAGTGCGATCTTGTCGAGCTCCAACGAAATCGGAGGTCGTGCGCTGCGTGGGGCCGTCGTGGGCGGCGGCGTCCTGGCGCTCAAGTACGCGAGCAAGGCCGCGTGCAGCACGACCGTCGTACGCGCGTCGGTGGCGGGCGGGCCTTGCATCGCGATGCGCTGTGGCAGTAGCTGTACATAGTCGAGCTCAATCGTGTATTGGAGCTGGCTGGCTTGAACGACCAGTGATGGACGCTCCGAGATCGCGTCCAGTGACGGCGTTTGTAGCAGCTTGGCAACGACGCTGAGCTCTGCATGGGAGATGACGAGAGCGACGGACGTGGTGGCGCTCGTGGCGTCGCCGACGCGCACGTCGAGGTCCCGTATGAGGCCGAGGCCGCCGAGGCAGTCATTTCCATCCTCCACCATCCCACGCAGCGCAAGCGATTTGACGTGGATGTGGGTAAACTTCAAGAGCCCGATTAGCGCCGACGTCGACTTTGCACTTCCTACATCATATATCGAGGTACACCGTGGTCAACGGATGCTTGCACGTACGGCGCTTGGTGCGGGCCGGCGGCGACGAAGAGGGCGAAGGCGGTGTCACTGAAAGGATGAGGTCGTCCAAGAAGAGGCGCAGGAGCTTGCCTTGCCCGAACGAAGCCAAGAAGGCCCGCAGATGCACATCCACTTGGAGGCGAGAGAGCTGGAGGTGGACGCCCTCGGTCGTCGCCACCTCGATACCGCAGAGCGTGAGCGGCTGCAGCGAAATCTGCTGGATCCGAACGCGCTGGCCCGTGAGTAGGCCCAAGACCCACGCCGCACCGCGCCCAAGGACGTAGCGGCGGGACCAGTACAGCGCCGTGAGCAGTAGCACGACGACGACGACGGCCTCGAGATTGCGGCCGGCGGTCGTCTCGGTGGTCGCCGTCATACTTCGTGTTTGCCCACAATACAAATGGCGACCTTTCAAGATCGCGTGGCGTCCTTCTCTAGCACACCTTGTGCATTTTAACAAGGGAAATAAGAAAATGGTTCTTATTCCCTTGATTTTAATCACTGAATAAGTCAGTGATAGGAATGCTGCAATGGTCTTTCCGACACAAGTTGTCTTATAGCCAACAACCCAACGCTACGTCGGCCACTGCTTGGCTTAGGCCGCCATGGACTCTTGCGCGCACGCGAGCAAGCGCTGCACAAAGTCGACAGCACCAATGTCACGCCGCTACACATAAAACCTTAGCCAAGGCATAGGAACACAAGGGTACCTCGCGGAGGCCGGCGCTCCGGCGCGTCTCCATCACATCGAGGAATTCGGCCGGCGAGACGGCGCCGTCTCCGTCGGCGTCAAAGAGGGCAAAGAGGATGTCGACTTGGTGCGTCGACACGAGCGGGGTGCCCCGGCCGCACGCGGCCCGCGTCGCCCGCAGAAACTGCTCCTTGTTGAGTCCGTTGGTCTCGTGGATGAGCTCCATCGCCACCTACCATACGTTGCCACATGTACTTTTGTATCGCTGCGCACCTTCATCGCGTCGAGGTTGTCGAGGAAGAGGTAAAAGGTCATGAACTCTTGCTCCGAGATGCTGCCCTAAAATATACGATCTGAGATGTCGTTGGGCAAGCCCACGGACCTCCATTTGATGCAGCGCATCGACCTTGGCGACCCACTGGTCGAGCTGCATCTGACATACGACAATATTCAACATTGTCATCTCGAAAAATGAAATTTACCTGGTCGACGTGCGAGATGAGGAACATTCCAAACTCGCGCGGCGAGAGTTCGTTGCTCCCGTCCACGTCGTAGTGCTCGAAATGCAAATGCATGACCTCGTCCTTGAGGCTCTGGCGAAAGGCCTTGAACTTGGCATACGTCAGCGTCTCCCTACATCGTACCATCAGATCTAGTTTGTACGACGCGTGACGGACATGGCAAACTCGCCAAAGAGGTTCTTAAAGACAGGCGTCGAGTTCTCATCGAGCGTGCGGTCCTGGCGCCCCGCGGGCGTCCGGCGGCGCATGAGCTCCATGATCTACACAAAGATGACTCATATGTGGAGATAGAGATGGAGAAGAACCTGCTTGAACTCGCGGTGGTCAATCTCGCCGTTGCCATCGTCGTCAAACATCTTGAACGCCAGCTCAAATTGCCGTTCGGGGACTAGCAGACCATGAGCCACCGCAAGCCATGGAACGCGTACTGCTGAGGAGCGTCGTGAAGAACATGTACTCGGGGTACGAGATGAGCCCGTCGCCGTCGGCGTCGACGAGGTCGAAGAAGGCGTGGTTGCGGCTCACGGGGCCGCCGTGCGTCGTCAGAAACGTGTCAAACTCGCGCTTCGTGACGTTCAAGTCGCGGAGCACGAGCAGGTGCGTCTGCAGATCCATCTTGGCGTACGTCGTGCCGAGCATCGTGAGCAGGAGCTCCATCTCCTTCACGTCGCCATCCGCCACGGGGCGTTTCGCGAGTTTGGCCGCGTCCATCTTGTCGCCAAGCGCCATGAGCTGCGTAAGGAGCTGCTTGTAGGCCACGACCTCGGGCTTCTTGGGCGTCGCGAGCGCGGCCGCCGGATTGAACGTCGTGTTCTTGGACCGGAGCTCGACGCCGCGCCGGAACGAGTAGGGCGTCAGCGCGCGCGAAAAGTCGGCCGGCGTCATGTACGACTGCTTCTCGAGCTTCACGCTCGCAAAGTACTCGAAGACGCGCTCGGGCGTGCTGAAGCGGCGCAGCCGGTTTTCGTAGCGCCCAACGATCTTCTCCTGCGCCGTCGGCGCATACTCATCCGGCGTCGCCTCTGCATACGCCATGGAGGCAAATAAGGTGGACGAGCCAAGGGCCATGAGGCCATGCTGTCGCCCGAGGAAGAGCGCCGATCGCCACATCGTTCGAAGTGCAAAGTGACCAGATCCAAAACGACCAGAAGTGCTTAAACCGAGGGAATGATTGTGAATCTGGCACGCGCGCACTTGGTCGCTCGACATAATAAAAACATTTTTGCAGATACAATATACCGAATCATAATATAAAAACAATACGAAACAACTGCCCAGTGCGCGCGTACCAGACGCGGCATGCGTGGCACCATTGCAAGCTTCCACAGCGAGGCTCGTCGCTCGCCCAGGCTGCAGCTCGGAGGCCAAGGTCGTGGACGCGACGTTGTGAGCAGACAAGACGGGCGCAGTGTACTATCAGTTCTATTTTTTAGGTGCTTTTGGCGGGCGCAAGTGGCTAATTATTCCTACGTCCTGCCCGCGCTTCTTCATCTCTCTGTGGGCCCGAGGCATCGCGCTTCCCAATGACGGCGAGCTCGGGCCGCGATCACTATGGCACACGGGTCACCCCTTTTTGTTTCTAGCAGTGGCGGCTTCTTCGTCTTCTTCCATCAAAGACGCCCGAACGCGCTACCACTCCTTCACCGACTCGAAATACCGGTCCATGAGCATGTTGGTCAGAATCGGGTGCGACCCGATGGGCGCCGTGACCGCGACCTCGAGGTTGGGGTGCGCCGCTTTTGTTGTCGCCAAAACGTGTTCAATGTCGCCGCCCGGCACCGCATGGCGGCCCGACGTCAGGAAGAGCAACGCAAGCACGACTAGGCCCGACGAGATCTTATATGTCTCGAACGCATGCGCGAGGAGCGGCTCGTTAAAGTCGTACGCCGGGTCGTCCACGCGTTCCATGCTGGCCGTGTGCACCTTCTCCACCTAGTCCCGTAAAATGATAAACACCTTGATACATTGATACGAGAACGCACCGCGCCGCCCAAGAGCTTTGTGAGCTGGGACCCAATGAGATTGCGTGACAAGTGCACCTCGTGGTTGGTCGTGCCGCGGTCGACGACGATGACGCGAATGTCCTTCTTTTCAAACTCGCCATGGTGGTCGGCGATCGCTCCGCGCACCTTGGACGCCAAGATCTTGGCGATGCCGTTCTCGGACGGCTTGGAGATGTCGACGAGGCAGCGCGCAATCGTGAACCGATGCTGGCACGTGAACGCGCTCAGAACCGACGGGATAAAGTCGGTGAGCGCGTCGCTGTTGCCGATAAAGACGGGCAGCACAACAAACTTGGCGGCCGTTGTACTGTGGTCGGCGACGACGCCCGCGACCGCATCTTGGAGCAGCACCGCCGGCACGTCGTCGAGGTCGGCGAGCGGAATCGTGTCGGATAAAATGCAGCTCGATGGGACAAAGCGCACGCAGCCGTTGAAGCGCACCGAGAGGTTGCGACACATGTCCCGGAGCGCCAAGACAGACTCGGGCTGCGTCGAGCCCTTGTTGACGACAAAGCAAATGTGCGACTTGGACGCGCGCATCGACGGCGTGCGCTGCTCTTCGTCGGCTTGTGCGACAAAGCCGTCGCGGTACGTCGGGTACAGCAGCTGGACGCCGAGCTCCGTCTTGATCTTGGCGTTCGAGAGCAGCCGGTTCTCGACATAAAACGACTTGGCCATGTCGCTCATGCTGCCCTTGGCATCGTCCCACGACTGCAGTGGCGGCACGTCGACCCCGAGGAGGTCGCATGCAAATGTGACCGCGTCGTTGCTGCTCGATGGCTCGTCGTCGCACACATTGTAGACGCTCATGGGCGACGGGTTTGCGATCGACTGCATGAGCACGTTGACCACGTCGTCGATATGGATGCGGTTGAAGACCTTGCCCGGCATGTGAATGCGCTTGGCGCGGCCGGCGCGGACCTGCGCGATCGTACCGCGGCCCGGGCCGTAGATGCCCGCGCAGCGAAAGATGTGGATCGGCAGCCCCGACGCAAGCCACTCGGCCTCGACGCGGGCGCGCTGCTGGCCGCGCTTGGTCGACGACCGCAGCGGCGCGGTTTCGTCGAGCACGTGGCCGTGGCTGTCGCCGTACACGGACGTCGACGAGAGGTACCCGACCCATTGCAACGTCGATAGCTTCTTGAGCTCCTTGTCGAGCGTCGCGAGCACCTTGTCCTTGTCGTCGTCGCTTGTCGGCGGCTGCGGCGGAATGCACATGAGCACATGCGTGACGTCTTCGAGGAGCCGGAACGTGTCGATTTCGAGCGTGCCATCTTCGAGGAAGTAGATCTGCTTCATCCCACGGTCGATGAGCTCGAGCTTGGTTTGCGCGCTGCGCACGGTACCGCAGACCGAGAAGCCGAGCTTTTCGCGAAAAGCCATCGCGACGCGAAGACCGGTGAAGCCCATGCCCAGCACGAGCAGCTTGGGCTTCTTCTTGGAGCCTGGCGGCCGCGCGAGGCCGGGCAGGCTCGGGACAATGTGCTGCGGGATCGCGGCCGACCCGTTGCTGCCGTAGACGACAGACGGCGTCACGATGGGCGGTGGCAGCGAGATGATGGGGACGGGCGGTCGCTCCGACGACGAGACGCGGGCGAGCGTCGGCGCGCCCGGCGACGCCGACGACGACGATGGGCTCGACTGAGGCCTTTCCATCTTTGAGCCGACAAAGGACTTTTCTATTACACAGCAGATGTCACGACGGCCGTCGTTCCGACACCTTTCGACACCTTTTGACAATTGCGTCAAAAGCCACGTGCACGCGGATTGGCCATTGGGCGACTGCCGCGAATTTTAATTGGGCCGGCACCATTCATTTGTGGCCTCTTTTTTATGCCGACGCAAGAAAAGATCCACGACGTTTAAACGCGTTAAACATACCACCTCATAGTGCTCGATGGGTTCTGCAATGCCAACACGGGGCACGCGGCGGATGCAAGTAGGCACGAAAGAGGGGGTTTACCGCATTGTACCTGCGTTTCGCATGCGTGCGGCGACGGCAACCGGGTGCGCTGTCACGCGTGTCTCGAGGTTTAACGCCGCATTCTGCAGGTGAGAACGGAGCCAACTCACGGAGCCGCGCTCCTTTTCCTTGTCCCCAACGCCTGTTCATACTCGACGACGATCGCCCAACCTCGTCACACGCCGCCTTTTATTAGGCAACACCCGAGCATTCCGAATTTTGGCGCGGTATCCACGAGGCGCGTATTGGGTATAAACGCGTTTTAGTGAGGCGTCGAACGGCGCCGAAGACATTGTGCGTCACACGCGCGCTTCGTCATTGGCCATATCGACCAACTAACTAGATATGTCAACTAACTAACTCGCATTTTCGACTAACGGATCTGTGAGTAGCAACTAACTACTCGATCTTATCGACTAACTACAATATCGTATCGACTAACTACAATATCGTATCGACTAACTAAATGCGATATTGGACGACATTGCATCTCTTTTTCGATTACACGACTAAATTTAGCTCGGGCGCGCATGTGCAAACACATCTTGAACGTCCAGGTGGTCGTCGTCGTCGTCGCGTGGATTAGTGAAGAGGTTGCCGTAGGTGGCATTCCGCGCCCCGTGCTGCAAGCGGTGGTTTGACTGCACCGAGTGCCATTTTGAGGTCTCGGACCATCCGATCCTCGCCGCGCCCGAGATGGCGTTTGCTTGCAAGCAGTGCAAGAAATGCTTTCGAAAAATCCTCTCGTACGACAACGCCCGATAGTCTCAAATTATATCGGCCCGAATGATGCCACAATTTTGTAGTAATTTTACGCTGGACGACACGGTGTGCCCCCACTGCGACAACAACTTTGCGATTCCAGCCGTCGTGCCGGACTAAAGCGATTTTCGTCGTTCAAAACAAGATCGCCTTGTCATGAGAAATGATGAATCCAGTGCGGGTGGCAGCATGAACATATTTGAGCCCTTGGTATTTAAGCCCTTGGTGCCAGCAATCACCGATGCGTTGACCTTTTATTTGACCATTTCATTCATGAAGATAACGCGAAACACGTTCATATATATATATTTCATTCCTGCGATATCCTTCATAACTTGGTTGGGACTTGACGTTCTTCAAGTCCCAACCAAGCTATGAATGATATCGCAGGTAGTTGAAGGTTCGACACGATGATATCTCGATTGAAGTGTTTTCGTTCAAATGCAAGTGGAGTATAACGATAGTGATTGGAGAAATCGGGGCTCCACCCAAGCAAACATCAGTGCCACCATATATAAAGCCGTGAACATTGACCCGTGTTGTGTCTGCGCTTATTACGGGTTCCAGCAAGTTCGTACAAGCGACTACTGACTCTAGTGGGTACTATGTCCGACTGTTGTGGAGTACTGTGCACAGTTGGAATCAAATTGTCCATGGAATGATTCCGGTTTTATCAAAGGCAAATTTATACTATGCATGTACTGTAGAAACAAAGCGCGGTGGCGAACGCCGACTACATCTCAAACTCTTCATGGTGCACCGCAAATTGCGCCGAGTGCGCTTGGGCATCGATCGCGCGCGAGAGCGTCTTGGGGCCAGAGATATAGACACCGATCGCCGGTGTCGGCGCAGTCGCTGCCGTGTCGTTCACAAGATTCGCAAAGAAGACGGACCAGTCCATGCGACCTCGCTGGACGCTATAGCGCTCGACGAACGCCTCGTCCGACATGGTCGGCTCCTTGGGCATCTCGTCGACAGGTGATTTGGCGACCGGTGTGGGCGTATACGGCTTGATCAAGACGACGACGTAGGCCCAATACGACCCAACGACGATCGCCACAAACTCCATGAAGCTCTGAATCGGCCAGTACGCTGCGTTGATGGTCGAAATCTTGTTGCCATAGTGGACCACGACGAAGAGGATGCCAGCGCCGAGGAAGGCGCTGACAAAAAGCAGCGTCTGGCGGAGCATCGACACGTTGGCGTACGGCCGCGGCGGAATGTCGGACGCCTTGAGGTCAAACGCGGTCGAGGAAGCGGCGGTCTCGTCATCAGGCGGCGACGACTTGGTCACAAAGAGGTGGAGGCGCAAGTTGGACGAGAGACCCGTCGCTTCGTGGAACCACTGCTGGAACTGCGTCATCATGCGGAGGTCGCGGACGTGCCAGACCAAATGGACTTCCTGCGACGGCGCCGTGTACAAGACGTGCATGATCTGGGCCATGAGCGGGGTGACGCCGATGCCGCCGCCGATGAAGACCACCTTCTCAAACGACGCTGGAACGAGTGCGGGCGAGACGTAGCCGCCATCCATGTAGATGATAGGGTCGATACGGGCAGCGTTGCACTGACGGACGTACTCGAACACTTGGCTCGACCAGCGCCCGAGGTTCTTGAGGTAAATCGTCATCGTGCCAGGCGTGTGCAGCGGCGTCGACGCGACACTGAACGGGTGCCACTGCGTCTTGGAGACGGCCGGGACCTTGAGGTAGACGACGTCGCCGGCCTGGTAGTGCGTCGCAATCTCGACGATGAGTTCGGTGACCTGGTGCGGGTACGAGATGGCCTTGCGGACGACGACGGGCGCCGAGATCGTGGCCGACGACATCATGCGGTTGCCAATGTAGAGCACCATCGAGACAAAGCAAAAGAGGAGGACGCCCGACCAATGCATGGCGGCAAAGATCGTGGCCGGAATAAAGAGAAAGTGCGTGACGTAAAAGACGTTGTAGTAGCGTCGGCGCACATACGAGATCGACGTCATGCCCATGATGAACATGGCAAAGCCCGAGAGCCATCCGAACGAGATCATCCAGTTCTCGTAGCCTTCGTCACCAATGTCGCAATCAAAGCACGGTAGCATCTTCATGAGCTCGTGCTTGCGCGCATACGACACGACGTAGACGATTGTGTGCAAGACGAGCGCCAAAATCGACAAAATCCCGAGCCAGCGATGGTACTTGATGCCGTGGGCGTATGGAATACCGAGCCACTCCATCCAAAAGCAGTGGCGCGACGCCGGCAGCGCAAGAAACGCCATGTTGTACGCCGTCAAAAAGCCAAAGGCAGCGGCCGCCGCCTCGAGCCGTCGCTCGTTCGTGCTCGTGGGCTCGACACGGATCGTGTAGGAGAAGTAGAAGAAGAGGATGTTGCCGCCAACGACAACGAGAAGGAAGAGCGCCTCGCCGTAGGTCACGAGCGAGTTGAGGAAACGTGGCTTGCGCTGCAGCGCATACGACACACGGAAAATCGGAAACGTCGCGCCGTGGGACACGAGGCGCACGAGCAAGAAGGCCACAAATATCGGCAAGATGGACGCAAATAAGAAGTACCCGGCGTCCACCATCTCGTAGTGGCCGCTCGGCCACTTGTACGGGTCGACGCCAAAGAGCGGACAGAGAAAGTTGTTCATAATGTCGATCGACGTTTGACTGTAGATGACCGTGGTACCAAAGATAGCGTAGAGCACGAGCAGTCCCGCGACCCAGTGCGCGGCGAGAGCAAGCTTGCGCGGCACCGACTTGACTTCAGCGTCCAGTGGCGCGTGCAGTGGCGGAGTCGCCATCGCCTCATAGGTCGATGTGTGGCCCATGGTGCTTGGCGTCGAGAAAGCAAAATGAATTGTGGTGTGAAATGCTTCGTCTTTGGTATGCGCAGAAGACTCGCCGACTTCGTGAGCGCATCACAGCAGAGTTGTCGTTGCTTTCAAATGGACCTCGATTGGCACCGTTCGTTGGCCTCGCGCTTCAACTGGTCTTGGTATCTTGACACGTGATTTCGCGCGTTGGTTGGCCAAGACGTGGCCAATCACCGCGTTGGACGTTCCTGATTGGCTCCTGGCAAAATCGGTGGCGCCAACTTCGCAACGAAAGGGCTGGCGACAAGTGCGCTCTTCAAGCTATCACGGGATATTCAAGAAGGCGAAAGTGGGACTTCGTGGTACGCTTGCACATCATTTGCAATAAAGAAACTCGCACAGTCACGCTTCTCCTAGGTGACGGTGCTTTGCCGTGGTGGTTCGAAACGACAGTTTGTTCCAGCGCCATCGGTCGTGTTCCGGGACTCTTTTATAAGACATGCACGCCTCTCGAACGCTAAGTGAAGGGGAAGGGGACTGTTCAATCTCAATTCGATTGTCGTAGTAAGCTCCGTCCCTGCGTGAGCATGATGCCGCTGCCTGGTGCAACCTTGTCAAGAGCACGACGGAGCCTGTCGAGTTGGATGTGGCGTCAACTGTCCACGAAGCGCTCGGCGCCAAACCCACCGACTACGAAGGAGAGGTGGCCAGCCTTTTGGGTGATGATAGAAACGCAACAAGGTCTTGGCTCATGCAGACAGCCTGTCGAGAATATCCCGTGGGTGATGCAAGGAGCGGCACTTGAGTTGCATGGAAGGAGCGTTCTTGGTGCTGCGTTTTGAAGGCTCGCTCACGTCTCTTCTTTTGGGATGCACTGCCGACAACGGCAGCAAGAGGAATTCCGAGAGAACCTGGACGCGCGGACCAAGAAGGGCGCCGTTACAAAACAGTACGAGTCTACGATAGTGGATAACATTGCCCTGTCACATGATGCTCTGTTCATGCGGTAATCTGCGTGTTTACGATTGTAGTACGACGATTTTTATTTGCATGC